AAGTATAGAAAATAAATCAAGCAAAATAACGCCTATATGAAAACAAAATAAATAAAACACACTCAAGATGATGAATAATCTAAGACTATTAACCCTAAACAAAACAATCTGGAAAAAAAATGTTTCCAACTTCCTGCTTCATGTCCAGTTTTCTCCTTCTCGTTCTTTTAGGACTTTTCCCTAATTAATTTGTATTTTTTAAAATAAATAACTGTGTTCTGATGATCACTTACAGCGTGAAACATTTTTATACTATAGTTCATCCATACAAGTCCCATAAATCAGTCAAGTTACTGAATGAGGTTGTAAGCATATACAAGGTGGGGGAAGTAAGATGTTCATATCATGAAGTTATGTAGTATAGATAACAACTTGAAAAGGTTAAAATTGTAGTGATCAGGGAAGCATGATTTCAAGACTGTTCCACAAAGAACCACTTCTGGGGAAGAAGCTTTCTGAATGGAACTTCTTCCTTACCAATGGAATACAAAAGGAATGAGAATAAATCGACCCTTTGCATGTAACATGGCAGGTTCTATCTATGAAGGTATTTTGGTTGGTTGTTTTAGTTTGGCGGCATATTCACATCTCTGGGATCTTTTAAACTTTTAAATTAACGATGGGCTGGGTGTCAAATCGTCATGTGATCAGTTTGTGAGACATTCACGGGTTTAATTATCTGAGTGCCAGCGTTTGGCATGACCATCCGATTGATAAGATCGGGCGTCTCCGACCGCCCGTGTAAGAAGAGTGTTGCCTGTCACTTGACCCCTTATACACCCGGGTCATGGACTGCACAGCCACCAGTTTTCCGTCCCCCAGGCAAACAGGTAGCCTCATTGGTGGAGTAGGGGTCTTACACTTCTGCAGGGCGATATGAAGGTCTAGACTTAGGTTAACTAAGCTCGTTTAAACTTCAGTAAGGGAAATAACGATAGAAAAGCGAGAGGTCAGAAACGTTTTCAATGTGGGGAAAGGGGACTCAGATGAAAAATCATTCATCACGCACAAGGCTGCGTAAACGCATTTGAATTCTGTCTAGACTGAAAAGGAGGGCGGAACTGGGCATCTCCCCACCCCCAGATATGGTTAACGGTTCAATAAGTAATGTACATCTCGTTCAGACCTCGAAAGCCGATATTTGCTCCAAAGTCCATATGTGATGACTTTATTTTCGTATCTGAATCGTAAGCAAATTAATTTCTAATGTGTTGTGGTAGGATCCACCTAATTTACATAGTGGAGTACCGACCATATAAATATGGTTGGTACCGAGAAGAGAGGGAGGAATCAAGAGATTCAATCCAGAGACTCTGCCCGACTACGACTCAGTCAACACATTCTCCAGGAACGGTCTTCCCAGGAATATACATAATATTGTGTACACTTTCTTGTTTCAATACATTTTGTTCTAAGTACATTTTGTGTTGCATTATTATTCCATGCATTAGTCAAGTTTCAACATAATGAAATAATGGAATTTTTTCTTATTTTTTAATCCGACATAAACCTTTACGTTAATAATCACAACAGCTTTTAAAAAGGATAATTGAACATTACTCTGCTATGAAACTCTTTGAATCATTGCAGTTTTAAGAACGCCGGATTAGACGGTGGTTTCTTCTAGAAATGGGAGCACAGGAACAACTATCTTTTAAAGAAAACCTTCGAATACACTGGCCGGTAGATGTAATTTTTAAAAAATCCAGGCGTCTACTCAAACACGTGTATCCACTTCAAAGTATTAAGAAACCTGGGTCGCCATCTATGTCTTTGCAGTTCTTTTCATAGTTGTACACTTTCTAACATGCGGAGCTGTTTCTAGCGAACTACTTGGCGCATGCGTGGAGGTTTTATTTAACAAGGTCTGCTGGCCAGGAGGTTTGGTTCACTTTGTCGGGTTAGACAATTTTTTTTTTTTCGTCCGAATCTATCTTACATATTTATTACTCTACCAATCACTATGCTTAGAACATTACTGCGACATGTGGTCCGGTGACCCTGCAATATATTTAGAGATCCTTGCTTAAATCCAAAGGAAGAATCTGCAATGACATTGGTCCTGCCCTGATATCTCGGCTCCAGTCGTTTTCCCACCGCCATAATGCTGTGCTCTTTCTAGCTGTTCTGATGAACTTTTCTCTGTGGTACATAGACTTTATGAATTTAAGCTCATTAACAGATTAGCAGCAAGGTCTCATCATTTTACATTTGAAATGGTTAAATTTCGCTGTAAGTTTTATGCTAACAGATTTTTATCTCGCACTTCTCAATTGTGAAACTATCTTCCGGCTCTTTGTTTTCTACCCAAGTTTGATCTTCATAAATTTAAATTCAACTTCAATCGTTATTTTCGGTTTTATTATTCTTCTCGTTCCTTGATAATGTTTTTCGCTTTCTTATATTCTTTCACTCTCAATAATCTCCTGCGTCTTAGTGGCTTTATTCTCTTGCTTTAGGTCAAATATTTAAAAAAAAAATAATCACATCAAACATTTTGATGCAGCGATCATTTTTGTTCATACGGTTTTGTAAACAACTTCATTGCCTTACCGATTCGAGACAGTGTATTAAAACTACCGCGAAGAGCGAGAGTAGGTGGGGGGGAGCTGCTGAAAAGCTCGTGGCCTGGAATATAAGTCTTAAATCGAGTTGGTGCGAACCTTGAGCATGTTCTTTGTGCATGAGAGAGTGCAGAAATCGTACATTGTATTCTACACCGCTCGGAGTCTGACAAAATGTTTCATATCAAAAAATTGAATTACCTGAAAGAGATTCTCTAATTGTATTTCATCGCAATAAACACGTGCCGTCATCTTTTACGCTAATTCATTTTATTTATTGATCATCCTATCTCTCAGTCTCTCTCTCTCTCTCCCATTCTCTCTATCTCATTTCATATCATCCTCACTCTGTTTATATCTATATACCTTTCTAGGTAGCAAGCTAGTTCAGCACATATTAATCTCGCTCTGTCATTATCTATCTATCTATCTATCTATCTAAGTACCCCCTCTCTCTCTCTTTCTCTCTCTCTCTCTCTCTCTCTCTATCTATCTATCTAGCAAAATAGCTAAACAAATTAGATACAGGTAATGTGGACATATAAATCAACTTTGCATAGTAACTATCAGTTTCACGCTTCAAACCTATCTTCAGACCAAACTAATCTTAGTCTGAAGGTCATACTGAAGTGTACAGTCACCATACTGTGTTGATCCTTATGCCTGCACTGTTTATATCTATAAACGCCCTATCTTCATTATGGAACAGTCTTCCCTTATAAATATAACAAATGTTTAGCATATATTCACCTGCATAACTTAGATTTTCTTAAAATTGAGGAGAGAAGTGTATTTATGTGCACACCAAGTTCCTGTTAATTAATCAATATATATATATTATGAAATGGACAAAGTCCAACAATTATTTAAGACATTTTTTATAGATACAAATATTTAAGTAAATGCTCTGTTTATAATAAACAGTATTAACAACATTTACCGGCTTGAATGTCCGAGAAATTGTCATAGAAAATATGCGTCCTCCGACAGGAATCGAACCTGTATCCTATACGGAATAGTCATTTAGCCTGACGTGCCTTAACCGATTGGGCCACAGAGAATTGTGTTTAAAAACAGTAAAATCGACCTTGCTAACCGAACGCTCCTCTGTGGCTTATCACAACCACGTATCTCGTGCAGGCCTGAGTAATGTTTGTCTTTCTTGGGACACCGCACATAGAAAAATAATAATACTCCTTGAATAGTATGCCACCAGCCGATACAGGCGTCTATGTGTCATGTTTCTGCCGGAAATGGACCATAATGGCTCTCCACAATTTCTTCTTCGTTTTAGCTGTTAAACTACTTGAGCAATAAACTTCAGGCACTCACTGAAAGAAGCAAACCATGACGGGTTGTCAGGCCGTAATTGACAAATGGGATCCCTCCCACCGTGTGGTGTTTGACTCTGCGCCAGTTGGGTATGGACAGATGGACTGTAACTTCTATCGCCCGTGTTGTGTTTTCCCTGGAGTGATCTCTGCAGGGCAGGGAAGCTGGTCGATGGTATAGAAAGGTAGTGTGCGGGCCAGACCATATACCCACATTTTTGGCTGTAACGGCAAGATCCAAAGTGGTGTCAGCGGTAATAAGATATGTGGAACCGGTTATAGGTTCTTTTTTAAAAATCGTCGGTACCCGAGCATCGGGATCGTCATCCACTCTCTCTGTTTCGTTTCTCCCCACTGGTTGATGGAGTCCAGCCTACTTTTGTAGAGTCGTGAGCAGGAGTCACAAAGAATCCTCTTCATGTTGAAGGTTGAACTCAACAGTCTCGGCCCCCACCCCAAATGGTCTACGCCAGGAAAACCGATTTGCAGCAACGATTTACCAGGTCTCATGGTCAATGTTGACCTGTATCAGGCATGGTTTCAACTGATCCTTGAAGCGTCGTTTTGGGACTCTACGCAGCCTCTTGACGCTGGCGACATCTCCAAGCAGAATCATACGTGGGAGTCGAGTGGGGTGCATTCTGGACACGTGAGCCGTCCAGCAGAAGCGATACTGAAAGATGGTAGACTCGATACTGAAGTGAGACGCCTAAGAGAGGACCTCGGTGTTGGTGATACGTTCCTCGCAACTGATGCTAAGGATTCTTCGAAGCTTCGTTTGTTCGTTTGTTAGAGCTGCTCTTGACGCTTGATGTCCCGACGATACAAGGCCCATGTCTCGCAAGCGTACAGAAGAGTGGAGAACACCACGCCCCGGAAAACCATGATGTTGGTTCTCATGGTGAGTACGTCATTTGACGAAGACTCGATGTGAACGCTTTCCGTACACAGTATGAGCTGCTATTATCCTGTTGTCAAGGTCTCTCCGCAGGTGACATTATTCGAGATGTTGCTGCCAAGGTAGGGAAATTAGTCGACGTCTTCTACCGGCTGTCCGTCGATGTTGATACCGACGTACGTTGTTGCTTATCCGGGGGCCAGCTGGATGAAGATATTCGTCTTTTTCACACTGTCGCATCTCGAAGCGCTTGTAGGTATCGTTATACAGGTCTTCCGTTCTGTGGAGGTTAATCGTAGTCTGGCCCGCAGTTGCATTGAGACAACTTTTTCAAGCGTACTGTTCAACGGCGAATACCCTGCTACCCTTAAAAGTACAGACAGACGGAGTGGCAAGGAAGTGACAACCGTTCTCTTAAGAGTAGACGTCAAAAAGAGGGAAGTGGTGCGATATTTTGGCGTGAAATTAGAGGTAGGGTAATTGTAGACCTATAGCGAGTTCTGGATAGTGTTGACAGCATTGGATTTTTTGAAGGCACTGGTGGAAACCTGATTCAAAAAGGATCCAAACGGTTCTGAGAAGATTTTTTTTCCTTTTATGTCTAAAAATGATGCATAACTTTTGGCATAGAAAACTGAAGAAAATATGAAAAAATGGTTTCAAAGACATTCGTTTTCTGAAATGTCTACCTTGTTCGTATGACCTTAACCCGATTGAAAACTTATAGCGTATTCTAAAGAAAATAACGGTGAATAACGTTTTAGTAGCAAATATTAACTAAGGGATGCTAATCTGGACGCCGTGTAGTCTATTTCATATGAAGGAATAAAAAAAAGCGCAGAAAATCAAGGGATGAAGAACATCGAAAGGTATTCTTGAAGATGAAGCATAAATTTCATATTAACGTTGTCTTTTTTAAATTTTTGACATTACAATGGCAAAGTATTCTTTCTTTTTGTTCAAAATATTTGTCTTTTAAAAATTGCACACTTTCTATAATTATTATTTTTAATTTACAAAATAAAGTTTCGTGGCAAATAATATGGAACTTGGAAAATCCTGTTGCCATTTTGTAAGAGTTACACGTAATCTACTGTAATTTAAACATGTAAAATATTCTGCATATTAACGGTGAAAATGTTTTCCTAAACAGCTTCATATATTTTCTAAACATGACCATCAGAGGACAAAACGTGTTAGTAAAGAATAGTTTTCATTTTTTATTTATCTACTTTTTACAGATATTTCTTACTTAGATCTGAATTTATATGAATTTATACACACACACACACACACATATATATATATATATATATATATATATATATTAAAAAAAAAAAATTATCTCAACATCGGAACAGACTGGCTGACGAAAGCCGTTAAGGGACAATTTGAAATAGTCTATTCAGATGTTGAGGTAATTTTTGCTTTGTTTTTTTTTTTTTTTTTGTGCTGTAAAATTACATATGCTCTGTTAAAATAAAAACATCGAGCACTCTGTGTATTAGTTTTAATAATCGTTATTACTAGGATTCACCTGGATTATATAGCAACGGATCGACTATATATATATATATATATATATATATATAGAGAGAGAGAGAGAGAGAGAGAGAGAGAGAGAGAGAAAATACATTTTGGTCGCTAACACAGAAAAAGAAAATGTCTCATATCGAGATAAATTAACATTGAAAAACAAAGGAAAAAGTTAATTATTTTTAATAATATGTGAAAATCTTCACCCTTTGATGGCGGTCGTGAGACTAAAAACACGTGTAGCAAAATTATGGAAAATAAAGCATAATATTTTTGAAAAAACTCCACATTACAACCAAAAACGTTTGCGGTTTCTCTCTTCTTTTTAATATACACACTTTTCTCTCGTTGGAACCACTATAACCTCTTGCTTTTATATATATATATATATATATAACCTGTCCTAAACTTTTGTTGGTCCTGAGCGCTTAGGCTGTATTGTTAGCTAGTTTTCATGATTGAACTTTTGTTATACTACTATAATAAATTGTGCGTAAGTACTGTTGTACACGGTATAAAAGTTGCTGAAAGCATCTACCATACAGGACTTCAGTTTAACGTCAGGCATAAACAACCTTTTCCGCGGTTAGCCTACGAAAACCTCAACCTTCGCACAGCAAATTTTCAAGAATTATTTCAGGAAAAAACAGCGTCATTTACTCCGGCAAATACGGTTTATTCTTAATTTCCAAATACGGCAAGAACATTGTGGCCGTGTTCATAATTAATATTATCATGGGTTTATTTCTTTTTTTTTTTATATATATATGTATATATGTATGTATATATATATATATAAATTGTGTGTGAGCGTGTGTGTGTGTGTGTGTGTGTGTGTGTGTGTGTGTGTGTGTGTGTGTTTGTGCGTGCGTGCGTGTTCGGGGAAATGTCAATGCATCATCTGAATTAATTGTATTGACAAGAAAGTAAATTAAGTTGAAAAATAAACACTTGTGTAAAGTAAACGCCTTTTGTTACCATTAGACTGAGGACTTATTGACTAACCTACGCATACGTATGTATTGTGCTTATATAAATGTAGGTGTGTGTTTTTCAAAAGTAATTCTAGCTGCTTATTTGACTCTCTGTTCCGTCTCAGTCAAATTGGGTTTCCATTTAAATTACTGCCTCTGCTTTCACGTCATCTTCTTTGTCATCGGCTGTCAAAACAGTAGCATATCTATGTTTAGAAACTGCTCGCTACCTTTATTGTGGTATTAACTAAATCAGTTTTATTTTTCTCTTTCTGTATTCGATGATAAGTATTCAGTTTAAAAATTCAGATTTGAAGTACTCATTTCTTTTGTGTCTTTATATATTGTATATTGAGGCAAAAATCTTTCTTTTATGCATGTTTCATTAAATGTGACATACGAATAAAATTTTATGAATTTTTATTTTGTATGAGGATCTGTCAGCTTATTGATTCAGTTATGAAATTTTGTGAGATAATCTTAAGTGGCACTTAAGACCCGCTAGTGATCTACAAAGAAGGCAACATATGGAGCAAGAGTGAGGATTGTGAGATGGGATCACTGTTAGATTGACCAACCTTTTAGATCTTGCTCTCGCTTCTTGAAGATGATTCAGATTGAAAACTGCTGAGTTCACTAAAACACGTTGATCTCCATTCTACCCGCTCCAAAGCTAAGCGCTCAAGGGTGTTATGTGGTATATTGATTGCTGACAAGTTGCTTTTCAGCTTGTCTTTGTATCTTAGCCATGGGCGTCCTACATTCCTGTAACCCTGATCTAACTGACTGTACATTATGAATGAATGTATATATATATATATATATATATATATATATATATATATATGAAGAAATATAGTCTTAAGATGTGCTATATTATGGGATAAAGTGCTCAATATCAGAGATAGAGCGTGTGTAAATATAAAAGTGAACATAGAAGTCAACACTTAGAGGCGACAGTCTGTTTCATGCTAGATGCAATCGTCAGGCCACCTATATATATATATATATATATATATATATATATATATATATATATATATATATATACGTGATATATATATGTGTGTGTACATATACATATATATGTATATATATATATGTGAGTGTGTGTGTGTGTGTGTGTGTGTGTGTATGGGCCCGTGGTCGATTGGTTAAAACGTTCGCAGTCTGACCATGAGATTCGGTTCGATTTGTCAGGAAGGAAACTTCCTGATGTTAGAGGCACCTTTGGAAAGTGACCGAGAACCATACCACGGATTGACCCAAGCCTTGCGAGTGAAAATGGATAGACGTAACCCTTTTGGG